TCAAAGTCACATCGCGATCGCTATACACTCGCGAAGTCACGTCGCGATCGCTATACACTCGCGATCTCGCGGGAGGACTCTAAATCTGCATCGATTCCCAGGTCAATTGTCATGTCACATTCGCGAAGCGATCGCTATGAATTCCCGTCACTCGCGACGTGATCGCTATAAAGTCACGCTCTCGTGACAAGATCTTAAGAAAGTCTTAATTTATTGAAAATTTTTTTCTAAGAGTCACGTCGCGATTTAACTATCACGACGTGAACGCTATGTCGCTGCGCGATCGCTGAAATGTCGCGAAGCCGCGACGTGAGTCCCATTTCTACGAATTATAAGCGATTGAATTTGCTTGGTCGCGACGTGAGTCTTACGTTTTTCTTCTTTTCTTAAGAGAGCTGCTCAGCTTATTAACAGTTTTCTAGCATTTTTTGAGACGTTGAGGTTGTGCTACTCATGTTTTTTTTCTTCACTTCGCATCCTGGGAAGTTTAAGAGTTCGCGTTGCTAAATTCTACGAAGCTGCAAATAGGCGTTTTTCATTTTAGACACTCTGTTCAGGCATCGGGGGTAGTGTTTTTAAAAGGATTTTGTAGCAAAGTGCATCTTTGCACTTTGGTTTTCAAAGCAAAGTGCACCACATGCTAAAAAAAATTCTTACAAAGTGCACTACAGCAAAAACTGCCGAAAACAAAGTGCAAAGTGTGCACTTTGTTGTCAAAAACAGAGTGCAGTTGTACTCTGCTTCCGCTTGGTGTACTAATCATTAGAAACCGTGCTCGGCATGCTGGTTTTCCACTGGTTCAATGTATTATTCCGTCTTAATAACTGGTTTTTTTTCGAGCAATCTTTTTTTTTTATTTTGGTTTTAGAATCTTCTTTACGGCTTATCAGGTTTCTGCCCCCAGGTCTTTCATCCCAGGTATAGAATCGTTTACACTGAAATACGTCAAAATACGACGGTCGTATACGTGTATGGCAATGATACCATGTAAACGATGAAATATGGTGAAGTTACTCAAATCACGCAATCAGCGCTTAAAAATATTTATATTTAAGCGTAGCAGCTGTTAATAGTCTTGAAAAAGTATTTATATTCTTTCTTAATACGTCTTTTGTCTTAAAGTCAAGCACGTTATAAGTGGATAACGCCAACCCATGTATTCACTGTGAAAGTTAGACACTCTAGTGTCGCAGAACTGTAAAAGATATGAAAAATTCATAATTTTAATTGAATTCTCTTCATGTTGAAAGCAAGCCCGAGTTGACAGAATGTTCTAATCGCGTGGAGAATGCGTATTTAATGAGATCAGCAAGAGCATAAATCGAGCTACTATAGCTCGTTAGCTTGAAGAGCTATTAACAGACTTGCTTGTTGTTGTTTACTATCAGTGAGAGAAAGAGAGAACGAAGAAGATCACGTCAGAGTTCGTCCGTCAGAGATAATTATCTCCTTGTTTCTTAAAATGCGAATGATTGTGAAACGTACGCCTATTACGTAGAAAGTGTTTCTCGATTGTTTTGCACTGTTTTTGATGACAAGCGATCCAAGCTGAAAGAAAACTAAGAGTTCGGCTGTGTTTTAGAAGTTTACTTTGTGTTTTTCACGATGGACAGAAAGAATTTCGCGGTAGTTCACTCCGCTAAATTATTTTACACTTAAATTTGTTTGATTAAAAAGCCAAAAGGAACCTGTTCACACTGAAGTTCTTGTGAGAAAGTAAAATTTTATAAATATTACTTGATGACCTCAGAATTTCTCGATTTTCTACTTAACGGTTTCTCGTGTATAAATAGAACTGCGTATTTCTGTCTTTATTTCTTTATTTAACGGTTTCTGCTATTTGAATAGAACTGCGTATTCGTATCTTTGTTTCTCTATTTAACAGTTTTTCGTGTTTTATCGTAGTATATAGTTATTTATATATAGATATTAAAATATAGATATTTTTCAAAATTAAATTTTAATACAATTAATTTACATGCAGCAAGACTAACAAAGTAAGACAAATTGTCAAAAATTAGATTTTCTTGTAACTATTCTCGATAGAGCATACGAAATTACCTAAATGTTTAGAATCTGAAATTCAAAAATGGCTAAGGCATGAATTTTTCACGAAAAAGCCCTAAAATAATTTTCGACAAGACTGGTTCTTTATAATCCAAATTTTTTCCTTTTCTGTGCTGTAACAGTCTGAAACACATCAATCGAAAGAGTGAAAAGAACTTCACAAGACCAGCTATTTCTTTAGATTTTCAGGTATGTGGTGGTACAACATATATAATTAAATTGTAGAAGAGAATAATGTCTTTTAAGCTTATATAGATCCACTTCTCACTCATTTACTCACGCAAGTAACACCTAATGCCTTTGAACATTATGTGAAAATTTGAGAAAAAAGAGAGTTGATATAATATTGAGAGGATTAATCAGTGTTTTCCCTTTTTGCCGTGACGTTTTTATTCCAAATTTTAGATATTCGATTGACTTTGAGAATTCTCAAATTGCTGAATGAAAATGTTAATTGCGAATAGATCCGGGGCCAGTTCCTCCTTACAGTCTGTAGGTAATTCTCAGCATTCTCGTAGAAAAGCAAAATTCTCGTGAAGAATGAAAATCGGATACTCTCAACAAACAATCAGAATTCTCGTATAAGAGACTAAAATTCTCGTGAAAATTCTGGAAATTTCTGTAGGAAAGTGAAATTTGGCAGAAAGTGTTTCAATTTAGTGGGGAAAACGAAGTAATTATCATTTTGTCTCTGTCCGTTCATAGTTTTCGAAAAAGTTTCTTGTCTATGAAATTGTCCGAGCGGACACGTTGCAGACAAAAAAAGCTCATCTCTGCACGTATTATGTTTAGAAGAAGTTTGTCAGCAAAATTCGAACCACGCAGGCACTTGAGCATTAGTGAGAACTATAGGATACTTTATATTTTCTTGCGCTTGCCAAGCGAAATAACAAAAGTAGAGTAAAATAATAATTAAAAATAATTTTTAACTATTCATTTTCATTTTTCCCAAGGATACATTCTCTCATTCTATTTTTTTCTTTCCAATTGTCACTCGTAAAATCCGTGGTGAAGTTTGCGTCTGCCGTTTGGTAGCAAAGTTCTCTCGGCTCTGTTGCGCGAACCGAGGATAGAGGGGCGCCTCCTTCGTGAGGACCTTAATAAGCTCACCTCATGCACAGAGTATCCCACTGGGATAACGAGAAGAAATTAGCGTCATTTCTACGGAAGCCAGACGGTAGTCCGAGCGTGGATTGCGATGATCCACATACTTCACATGTTGCCTTAATGGAAAAAGAGTCGCATCGAAGAGCGGAACTAGTCCTGCTTTACCTTTAGTGGCACAACTGAGTACCGTTTTGATGTCGAACCGAAAGCTGGTACAACAAACATTGAGCTAAAGTTTATAAAATATTTTTTAAAACTTACTTGCTAGTGCTGCATAACTTAATTTTGTAAAAACTTGGAAAATGAGTGTGATAGCTAGAGAAAAGGGCAACTTTCGAGCTTCTTAAGCCGACCGAGGAAGAGAACGTGAAATGACTAGAGCCGGCTTATTGGTTTTCATATGAAAGTCGCGGATTGTTTGTGCTTCCCCAACACCCCAATGATTTTCTGATTAATATTCTGAACTCAAATTAGTAGAAATTGAGAAAAACGACATTTTGCGGAGTTCTAATATTAAATCAGTTTTTCTTTTAGTTTTTGGGTAAATCGGGTGTACATTAGGACACCCAAAATTTGGGACTTCGAAATTTTTAATAACTGAAATACTAAAGCGCGCTCATCGGTTAGGAGCAAACACTAGCTCGCAGCCATTTGCCATAGAACGAATATTCATGTAAACAGAAGACAACTTGCGGTTAAACCCCTTTACAGAAATAGAAGAACACCCCATATATAAGAACAGTCTGGCGGATAATGACATGTTCTTCTATTTTGTCCTTGGAAGAAATAAAAACTAAACGTCGTTCTTTCTTTGTCTTATTTCTATCTCATATACAATCAATTGTTTTTCTTCGGAGACAGACGTCATCGGTGTTTACAGCTTTAAACCTTAATTTTTTTCACAGCTTCACGCTTTGCTATTTCCACTTCCAAACAAAAGGTTCGTAACATAATTTTTTTTTATTTTTGGTCAAAATAGAAGAACAGATCATAACAGAAGAACATAAGAATAGTTTAGAAACTTTTTCTGCTTTATCAAAATAGAAGAACATGTAACATGTTCTTCTATTCTGCACCCGGGTTCTTCGGACTCCGAAGGTAAGATCGAGCGTGAATGTGTTCTTCACTTACGACAGGCGTATCCTTATGGTATAAACTCACATTGTTTGGACGGAAGTTGTACGCTTTAACTCGAAATCTGCAGCCAGTTAACTGAGTACTTTTTCGATTTAATACATGAGACTGAGTGATTCGAATGATCTTCGGGCTAAGTTGTTACTAAAATTAGGTTTCCTTTAGTTTGAAAAATCAGACTACAAACACGTTCAAAAAGCGTAATGAACAAACTTCAGAGTTTTAACTGTGTTTTAAAATTGGATGGTAGATAATCAAATTTCTTAACTTGAAGTTCGAATATCAACAGATAAATTGAACACCCTCACCCTTAGATTCTTCTGTTTTTCCTTAAGGAGCTGCTAATATTCTACTCTTAAATTAAAATGAGTTTGTGGGCAAACTTAGCATCAACTTTTACACGTGATAGTAAGTATATAAAATGAAACCTGGTGCAGTTTTCTAAAATTCTAATTAATTGTGTTTTTCGCTAATTTTCTACAGGCGATAGTAGAAATTCTGTGTATCAATCACAGCATCGTATACGAGCACGTGAACTTTTGTCTAGATCTACAACTGCTGATTCAGTTACCATCAATGATGACCTTCTAAATTTTGTGAATAATGACACCACTGATCAATCACATTCATATGAAACCGATGAAAGCAGTGACGAAGAAGATCCATCATCCACTTCTTCAATTTCTTCTTCTATGTCAATTTCAAACGAATCCAGTTCTGACAACGAAGATATATCTACAGATCCTTTGCTGTACGATAATTCTAACATACACGTCTCTGAGGCAGTCTCATCTATTCATAATTATATTGCAACATGTAAATTAAACAGTTCACATCAAAAGAAACTACTTGATTTAATATTTTTTTTAATTCCGAAAGATAACAATTTAAATCGTCGTAAATTAATGAAACAGTTGAAACAACCATTTTTTTATAAAACATTATGTAATTGTTGTAGTAAGGAAGTTGATTTAACAACTAATGAATGTTCTAACACCTGCAAATTAAATGGAAAAGAGAGAAATCAAGAAGGAATCATAGAACAATGTATGAATGATCTAAATCCTTCTGTCAGTGACGTTGTTAAACGAAATTTACATTTAATAACAACTTATCCCTCTCTAGTTGATAAATTTTTACCAAATGATATATTAAATGCTAACATTTATAAACAAGAAACCCAGTCGAAGTCATTATATATTAGTTTACAATTACACAGTGATGGTATAGATGTGATGACAACCAAACATAAAAATTGCTATGTTACTACCGGTATTATTCTTGAAATTCCACCACCTCTTCGTGATATGTCAAAAAATAAAATTCTATTGAGTCTGTACTTCGGAAAAAAAGAACCATCGATTGAACTAATATACGGAAAATTATTAGAAGATTTAAGTACATTAATAAAAACTGTCTAACGATAACTGACGAGAATAAGAAATCATATTTTTTTAAATTCAGATGTCAAGGTGATAAAAATGATTTACCGTGTAGAGCGAAGAAATGGAAAATAAGTCAATATAATGGATATGATTGTTGTACCAATTGCTTACAACATGGTGAAACTAGACATACTAGTATGGTTTACTATCCATTTGATGATCAGGTTGCACAGAGAACTCAAAATGATTTTGTAACTGCAGCACAACTAGCAGCTTCCAGTACAGTTCCAGGTCATGTTGCAATTGTTCAAGGTATCAAAGGGTTGTCACCGTTACTTAATCTTTATAAAAACGTACAAGAATCAGCGTTATTCGATTATATGCATGCAGTATGTGGCGGTTCGGGACACACTGGTCATCTTATCAGAAAATGGTTGGTTCACGTTAAATTAGATACAGCAATGTCTATGAGTGACTTCGTTGTAAACACATTGGTACCACATGATACTAAAGTTACGTTAAAACCATTTTCGGACTACGACT